GGTGAGCACGGCTGTGACAAATGTTGGATGCCGCTTGGTTCGGCACAGATTTCGGACTGTCAGCGGCTGCTGCGACCCTTCGATACGTCAGCTCCAGTAGCAAACCTGAACATGCCAGCACGCACGACGCCACTTCATGATTATCCTTTCTGTTTTTCGCGATGCCTTCCGACTGGTCTTATGTGTCTGTCGTGCAATTTCTGGTGCTCTCTGGTGCTCTTGCGTTCGTTTTCAAGAATTAGTCAACATCAAAATTCTTCTCCTTCACTCCCTTAATATGACACAACAAAATCCATCTCTATAGAAAAGAGCCAAGGATAGATTAGCACTGACTCCATTACGTCAGCGGAAGCTACCTGTAGTCGTAGTTTTTACTATCGCCAGCTATCACCATTGGTCCGCATATTTGTTCTTGTCCGATTTGCTGTTATCGAGGCTTGAGGTGTAACTGGCGTCTGTCACTCACTCACGAACACTGCTGTGTGTACGGCTTCTTTTGCCCAACTCTTGGTCGTTCCAGGCGGATGCGATGGAATTAGAGCTGAGATACACGTTGGAATCCTTCGAGGGGCAGCTGAGCGCCATGGCCCGTGAGAAGGTGGCCATCCAGAAACAAGTCAAAGAACTCACAGGGCAATGCACCACCCTTCGAAAGCAGGTCCGTGAAGACGCTGATGCAATTGTTGAACACGATGTCAACGAATGCGAATAATACAACGGGGTAGGTTGGGTTTATGAAACATTATGGGTACCCTTAACAGGTGGTGCTTGAAGGTGGCAGACCAACGATAAATGGGGAATTATTCGTCCTAGCGGACGTTGGCTTATTTACGTGTAGTTTGCCAAACTCATTGACTTCGCCAAACGAACTGTGGCACTACTCCTGTGTCGGTCGGTACCTGTATATCAGCGCCTTCCTTTGTGTCTCGCTGTGATCGAATCGTACCGCGGTTCTCCTTCCCTCAACGACCATTGCGCTTGTTAATGCGATCTTCGAATATGTCGCTGACAGGTGTCGCACTACAAGAAGGTGGCCAAGGAAAGTGAGGCGCAAGGTGAACAAGTAAGTGACCGCCTTTTCGCACGTGGGAGCCAGACGGCTGTTTTGATGAGTTACATCCACCTAAACACTTTTGATATTTTCCTACACTTGGTGGTCATCTGACCCACCCTACCGGATTCGGGAGAAAACACAAAGCAGCATTGGGGTACCGTAACTCTCCATGAAAGCTATTATCTGTGATTTCTCCGGAGTAGTTTGGCGAGATGTGTTTTTAAAAAGTCGCGTAACGCAGGGGGGCATTTGGATCTTCATATCCGGTGTGGTACTACCTAGTGAAAGCGAAATATCGCTCGAATAGTTCAATTGACGGCTGCTGTACAAGTATTGAGACAGTTGTATATCGCAACACTGTGCTTGCTGGTCCACCCATACAGGATGAAGTCATCGAGCTGCGGGCTCGCTTAGTGGAGGCAGAAGACATACTGGTGGTCAAGTCTCAAGAGCTAGCTGCAAAGGCACAGGAGGCGGTGTCAGCCACAGCCCTTGCGAATGCTCTGGAGCACCGGATACAGGAGGCTGATTCCGAGGTGTTGGGGCTACGGGAGTCTTTGGAGTCCGCGTCTCAAGAGCTAGCTGCAAAGGCACAGGAGACGGTGTCGGCCACAGCCCTTGCGAACACTCTGGAGCACCGGATACAGGAGGCTGATTCCGAGGTGTTGGGGCTACGGGAGTCTTTCGAGTTGACGTCTCAAGAGCTAGCTGCAAAGGCACAGGAGGCGGTGTCGGCCAGAGCCCTTGCAAACACTCTGGAGCACCGGATACAGGAGGCTGAATCCGAGACGTTGGGGCTACGGGAGTCTTTGGAGTCGACGTTTCAAGAACTGTCTGCAAAGGCACAGGAGACGGTGTCGGCCAGAGCCCTTGCTGACACTTTGGAGCACCGCATACAGGAGGTCGAGTCCGAAGTGTTGGGGTTACAGAATTCTTTGGAGTCCACGTCTCAAGAACTGTCTGCAAAGACACAGGAGGCGGTGTCGGCCAGAGCCCTTGCTGACACTTTGGAGCGCCGGATTAAGGAAGTCGAGTCCGAAGTGTTGGGATCACAGAAGGCTCCGGAGTCCACGACGGAAGAGCTCGCGTCCGCCCGTGCGAGCGCAAGCGACCTGCAGTGTGCCTTGTCCAAGATTTCTGAGCTTCAGAGCGTTGTCGGCGACTTGGAACGGGAGAAAATCCACCTGAATGAGACCACCGCGGCTCTCACAAGCGAGTTCGGCCAGGCCAGTGCGAAACTTTTAGAGTTACAGGATGTGATTCACTCGCAGCAGGAAGAGAAAGCGATTGCATTGCAAACTGTCGACCAAACAGAGGAGGCGCGGACGGCGCTCGTGGTGGCGTTGAGAGATATCGCTGAGCTGATTGGGTGAGCCATAGTGTCCGTATCCTTTCGATGCCACAATAGCGGAAATGCCGAGTTCTAGGCTTGGCAATCCCAGAGTGAAGCTTTGTCACAGACACTGTTCCTTTGGAGTTGAAGGCGGCACCATGTACATAACATTAATTGCAGGTGTTGTTTATTTCTTGACGGTAGCGTATGGTCCAAGACCCATGACGAATATTCTGCACTTCTGTATCGGACTGCGCAAGTGTTTCGTCGACATCGTCGTTATGCACAAGGAAGACCTGAATTATGACGTTCCTCTGGACGCAACAAAAGCCCCATCAACGTTTTTTCCGGAATCTGGAATTTACGACTGCCCTCTTTGTCCACCTCGCACATATTGATCAGGTGCGACCGCGTCGGAGAAGCTGCTGTGTCCAGCCTCAGCATCTTGGATAAGATCGCCGTCGTGAAGAGACAGTTGGCGACTGCGGAGGACGTACTGGAAGCCACGGCGCAGGCCTTGCGACAGACTGCGGTCGAGGTGCGCATTCCGAGGCAGATCTTCACCCGCAGTACACTTTGTTGGGCATTGGACAACATGGCAAGGCGTAGCCTTGTTGTCGAGTCTGAGTTTTCGTTGGCTGAAGCACAACACTCCTTCCCTCCTTGCAGTTTTTGTACCGCAGTGCGGCAAGGACGTCACTATACCATGTGTCCCGTGCCAAAGGTTGCTGTGCATCCACATGAAATTGCGTGGGGTTTTTTTGTAATCTTGTCGTTGATCGTGCACAGGGAGAGGTTGCCCTCGATTCAGGGTGGAGCTGGATCATCAATGGCGTCAGCAGTCTGCAGCGCCGACTACAAGCTGCAGAGTTGGAGCTTTCGCGAAGGTGACTGCAAATCTACAGACAGTTCTAGAGACGCACCCAAGCATGAAGGTGGTTTGATGCTGCTGTGCAGTATTTTTATTCTGTTCCAAGACCGTGAAGGAGACGCTCATGTTGATGCAACTACCGCGTTCGGTGGTGGCTTTGCGATACATCACACTCACTGTTAATATTCAGTCCTTTCAGCATGGCCCATACGCAATAGCACGCAACTGTTGTGATGGAGGCAGTGCTCAGTGGATACCGGATTTTCCCTTTCTGGGTTCTGTGTTGCGCAGCGCGGTAGTCCAAGACGATGGCGGTCTTGGTGACACCGCTCAGGTGGTCGAAAGCGCATCGGTGGTGGGGGAATGCAACGGAAACAGTGTAACGCACGAGGTAAGTGGCTGAGGTTGTAGGGTTTGATCTAATTTTCAATCGATGGCAAGTGTGCGGATTCGAGTTTTGTCTGAGTGCTTATCTGCATGCCGTTTTACGCAATATACATGTACAAAAGCCTAGAGCACATGCCGGCTACCCAACAGATGCAAGCCAAAGTGCACAATCTCGAGAAGCTGGCGAACGAGCTCCCCGAGCAGCGGTTACCCGGAACAAAACACGATGGTGCCGAAACAATGCTATACGTTGAGGTGGTTTTACTCTTGTTGGCGTGCTTCCCTCGTGCGTGTGTTGGTATTCCATATTTTCTGGGCGTGAGAACTGTCGGTATGTCTGGACACACGAGCCAAGGTCACATAGATTTTTTTGTGTTCGTTGTCTTCACCTTGCTTTTGCGGCGCTTGCCTTCATGTTTGTCGCGAGAAAGGTTCAGCGGTCAAGTCGAATTTGTACAATGTGAAATATCATTGTGGTATTGCACTTGTTAGGGCGGAGTGCGACGAAAGGTTCAAAATTCGGGTGACTGCACCGAGATTTGTCATCACGTTCAATCGTCGGAAGGTTGCGAAAGTCCGAACTGAACAACCGGGCTGATCGACTCTGCCTTATGTGATGTGGGTCTTTGAAGACTGTCTTTGCTGGTCGCCCTCTCACACCCCTGAAGCGGGGATTCAATCATGTTCGAGCATGAGGGAGATAGTCCTTTGACTTGATCTCGTCGTTGGTTTTCTGTCGAATATTTCCGACCTAGGCTCTCCGGCAAGCCAAGGAAGAAGTGGAGACCGTCAAGGCGACCCTCAGGTGGGAAAGTATGCCACTGTTCAGCGTTTCTAGCGGGAGGGGTGCGAATACGCGTACCAAAAAACTTCGCCACATTTTGACTGTTGGTCCCTGGCAGGTATCGTTGGAACACAGAAAGTGGCGGAAGGGTGACGACAAAGGGGTATCTCCATCATCAATAGGAAAGCGATACTTATGTTTTCGCAAGAGGTTCTGAACCCCCCCCAATCTACGATATACGACGTATGAAACACAGCAAAATATTGCCATCGCCTGCTAAACGAATAGGGTACGTTGGAAACGTTTGGTACATGCTACTGCACGGTTGATAGATGGATCAGGGTGGATCAGCGTACGGTGACTGTGCGGGTACCGATAGAGCGGGATGACGTAATTGTCGGAGTTTTCCCCACTTTCCTGCCACTCCTTTGTTGGATTCCTCACCATACCTGGTCAGGCTTTCTCGTCTGTTTCCGAAAAGTGTGTGCGTCGCCTTGTTGACGTGTACTCACCCGACACACTTGTTGTGGTTTTGATCATGAATCATTTCGCGTCGTTTTGGTTGTACCATGGTATGGTTTTGGTTTGACGACTCTCAGAAAGGAGCGGCTTCTGATGTTGGCTTTCCGAAGATGGGGTCACTTTTACCTGGCCTTGAGCAACGAAGCCCTGAGGAAACGGACAAAGGAACAGAATCAGGCCCGCATCCAGGTACGTGTAGTAGTATGGTACCGTCGGCGATACTCGTGCACTACACTGTAATACTGCTGTACACACGTTGTCCGGTAGCGCGTAGGGGGCTTCCCGCCTGTTCCACAGTTGCGATATTTCATGTTTTCTAACGGGTGTCGTCGCGTGATGGGCGTAATTTCACGGTGTCGCAGAAGGGCAAGCCAGAAAGTGCATCATCGAGCGTGATGGAACAGACGCGTACCGACAGAGGGCGCAGTCGCCGACGTGGCAATGGGCGAGAGCAGTTGCAGCTGTCCACCTCGGAGGTTCGACTCATGGTGGAGAAGGAGGCCGAAACGGTTGCACGTGAACTTGCGGGCGCGCCCACTGCATCTTTGCTCGCGCTTGTTGACGCGCGGAAAGAGATGGACGACGTAGCCATGAAGGCCCAGGTGCGTGCGTCGCGTGGCCAGCACATCTGTGCCATCCTCAAGCAGTAGGATGTATGGGATGCCTCCTGTTCTTGTAAAGCTTGACGCCTACTCAGTGGATGTAGGTAAGTTTTTTTTCACAGCGATCAAGGCAAAGACGACGCCTGCTGTTGCAAGAACCGGTTTTTCTGAATGACGCCCGTTTGTTACTAACTTGTGACAGGCGACGCTTGGCGTGTTGTACGCGCAACCGCCGTTGACGCAAGACGCCAACGTGGCAACGGATGGGACCATGATGCTTGAGATCGAGCAACTTCCCCACGAAGAGAATCTGAAAGGAGAGATCCAAGACACGAATGTGGCAAAAGATGGAACCATGGTGCTTGAGATTGAACAGGTTCCCCACGAAGAGAAGCTGAACAGAGAGACCCAAAAGACTTCGCCATCGCCTGGCCGCCAAACGAGTGCGAGTGTCGACATGAACGTCGATGCTGGCGTGGGTGAAGAGGCTCTGCCAGGGCCGCCGATCGCACCGACGGTGCCGATCGACCAGCAGAAGGCTGAGGCAGCCAAAGCTACCGATTCTACGGGCTCGAGGGTCCTAAAGGTGAGACAAGAGTCTAAGCCCCAATGCTGTCGCCGTACGAGTTCGTGTTGAGAAGGTGCTTGCCTCCCTTTTTACGGGATGTACTATCTAGGGCCCGTCAATTTTGTGATTCACCTCTTTTTGGTGGCAGTGATTTTTGTCGTGTTGCACTTGTGGTTTCAGGAAGATTTGTTGCTGCGAGTGGCGGGAATTATCTCGGGGACTTCGTTTTTAAACTCATTGTTGGTTGAGGTCTGTAACGGTGGATATGTTCTTGGGCCTTGACAATAGTCTTCCTTCATCAATTGATCCTTCTACGTTTCAGCACTCACCCTACGTCGAAGTACATAGCTCGACTGTGTGATGGCGAGCTGTTGTCATTCAAGAACAAGCCGTTTGAGTGACAAGCACGTGGGGGCTGCCGTGTAATATCTGCTGCGTTTCCGCTCCGGTGTCTGTTTCTCGTAGGGTGCGAGTGTGGATATTTCACCCAACAGCGTAGACGTGGACATGAAGGTCGAAGCAGCACATGATGGCGTGACTGAACAGGCTCTGTCAGCAAAAAGCCGAGGCTGCTGATCTTTCGCTGGTGAGGAGGGTCATGAGTGACTTTCACGACCCTCCTCAAGTCCGGCAGATCGGCAGCCTCGGCTTTCTACGGGCCCTTCGGGGCCATCATGACAGAGCCTGTTCAATCACGCCAGCACTTGCTGCGTCGACATTCATGCCCACGTCTAGGCCGTTCTGTGAAGTTGTATTCACACTCGTACCCCGCGAGAAACAGACACCGGAGCGGACACGCTGCAGATATCAGAAGTAGGCCTCCGCGTGGCTCTCACGTAAGGCCACGAGTGGTTGGATTATCTCGTCCTTTGCGTGTATTTGTAACTCATTGTTGGTCTAGCTCTGTGACCATGGGAAATCGTTTCCCTTTTCAAGAAGGTATTGTACGTTTCACGCTCACCCTACATGAAGTACAAACACAAGCTGGCTTGTGTGATGGCGAGGTGTCGTCATTCAACTACTCGCTGTTGCGTGCGAGGCACATGGGGGTTTGACTTGTGATGTCTGTTTCGCGCAGAATGCACCATCGTGCAGGACGACAGGGCCGCTGGTAGAGGATGGCGTCTCCAAGAAAGACCGAGCTGAATACCTGAAGAAGCAAAGGGAGGAGCGAAAGGCGAACAGGAAGAAGGGAATGCAAGCGTCCACGTCACGTACTAGGTCCGCAGAGCCCCCAGGCAGTGCGGCCTTCCGCAACCGCAGAACATCTGCTCCTGCGATGATGCCAACCGCTGCCGTCAACGCGCCGGCAGCTCCGCGTACCCCACCAACTCTCCATGGTGAGACGGACTTGTTCCAAGCGTCTCCTAAGCCGGCCATCGAAGACAGGGAAGAATCGGAAAGCAAGCGAATGCCTCCTCCACCCATGGGGTTGACAGCTGGCGTGTCGCCGACGGGCGCGGCACTGGTAGGGGAGGACCAGCAGGGCGGGGGTCCTTCCCCCCGTAGCGATTCGACGCTGACTGGCGAGACTATGGCGCCCGTAAGGGCGCCCCCACCCCGTATGTTCAACCCGACGGCTGTCCCCCCGCCTATCGCACCTTCGAGCGCAACCACCAGCTCCCACGCCCCGCCTCCCATGCATCCGACCATGGCGTTTAACGTCAACGAGTCGGTGGAAAGGGCTTTGAAGGAGGCGAGGCGCGACGCCGGTCAAGCTGAGAGGAATGCGATGTTCTGGAAATACCGATTCAGGGATTTGGCGGTGTGGGCGGCATCGTTTGCCGTCCTCACTTATGCATCCGATCACGGATTCGAGGACTGCTGAGAACTATGGAGGGCGTTTGTTACGTTAGCACACTTGGGTTACCCGGCAGCTGGGATAACAATTGCCGTGTTACCGTGCTACTGGTGTAGTTCTTCAAGATGCTTGCGATGTTGGGCTTTGAATTGCTCCGCGTGCATGTGTCCGCCTTTCAATGCAGCACGCCTTGTGGCTGCTAGGATATTGTGGTTATGGTTTGTGCTAATCTGCGGCGCCCTGCGCCGTAAGGCGTTGTCCTCTGTGAAAAGTCCATTTATGTGCGTCTAGCTCACCCAAGTTACTGTAGCCAGTGTCAAACTACGAATCTCAAGTATCGTAAGAGCTGTACACGCGTCGACACGTCCTGTCCCCTTGGTACGAGACATCATGGCCGATAGCTCTCCAGGTGTCCAGTCGCACTGCTGTAGTATAGATGAGCCCACGGGTTTCACTGCGGGCTGGTCGCTATAGCTGCCGTTGCTGTTGTCTTACGAGCCGCCGTTCCAGCTCTGCTTCGATTCTCGCGTTGGAGCGTTCCTGTATTGACAGACATGGTCGTGTTGGAGCAGTTACCGTGAGGGTTCATCAGGTACACGTTAATGTGCGTGTCACTGTTCCCTTTGTTCGTGGTGTGTGTAGCCACGCAGCGACATATATTCATGTCGTCTATTGGGTGTTGTGTGTGTGCTGTATACATGTAGCCAACTCAATGATATCTTGTCTCGATGCTGTGGTGAAACATCATGAAGTTCGTCTTTGGTTGCGCATTCCCTCTGTGCCCAACGTCTGTCTATGCTTCCTCTCTCCTCCTCCCCGCCATGCGCAACCGGGGATGACAGAGGCTGCCTCTCCCTGAAGGAAGGGCTGTCACCTTCTGTGCATGGATCTCTTTCTTCATCATGTGTTTGCGAAAGGATTCGGTACCAATCCCTGGACAGCAGTGCTTACAAGCGGCAGCGTACGTAAAGTACGTCAGCGTTTTATCAACCGTGTGAAGTCACGGGACTGCTGAACCCGCCTCGCGATGAAGTTGAAGGCGACCACGGCAAGAGACAGGTGGGGACTTCCTTATTACACGTAGACCACGGTGTAAGTAAGTGGTACAACACCGTAGACTGCCGCCCAGAAAGACAGTGGGTCTAATGGTCGAAAAAATATTGAGAACGTTTTTTCGCAGGGGACTGTACTACCGTACAAGTACACATCATTTTTACATACTTCATGCGGAGTTTTTTCAACTCCCTTCATACAACTTCACAACATACGTACAGTAGTCTAGAACTACCCTATAGAGGCACGAAGAAAGATGATCATTGCTGGTACGGAATGTTTGACTACACTGCTGTAATCCAGCCGATTTCCCTCCACTCACTGCAAAGACTCCAATACATTCCATTCGACTGTGGTTGTATCTCGAGGTCTCCGTGTTATACCATTTTTTTATTTTCTTATTATGACACAATAAATCCATCTCTATCTACAGAAAAAAGTCTAAGATAGATTAGCAATGAATCCATAGCGTCAGCGAAGGGCTATCTGTGTGTCTACGATTTCCCGAACAGCACACAGCGACATCTCCATTTGTACTTATTTTTCTAACCAATCCTCACCAATTTTCCCTTGAGTACATCGATGGTCGCAAGGCTGCACTCCGCCACCTTCTGGTAGCAGCACGGCTTTGGCTCAGTCTTATCAGTGCACACCCGCCAGGTCGTGTGGTCGCGCTGGCGTTGTTTGTGTGCAAAGAACAGGTCCATGTGTCCATGTCCTGTGTTCGTGTCTGTTTGGTGTGATTTAATTAAAGTGTGGGACTGCTTGCTGTACATTGCTTACCGTGAATAGCCCGACGAACCGCAACAAACGCAGTCAGCAGCACTGCTGTCATAGCTACATAATAGCCCGCATCGCAAACTCACGGAACCTGCATGTATGTATGCCTTCCCTGATATACCTCGAGATAAGGCTCGCCGAGTCGCACACGCTTCGACTGTTTTCCGAGATGTACTATCGGCAGGAGGATCCATCGCAACTCAGGACAACGTGAGGTGATGTAAATAGATATCATGACGTGGGTTGGCTGTAGTGCGCAGCTACAACATGTAGTCTCAAGCGCCACAAAAACAGCGTTTGCTTGGTCTAATCATTGTGTGATCGAGCAAGTTGCATCCGTAATATTGCCACGTCCCCTTCCAAGTCCTACGATTTACAACAGCAGCGGCTTCTTTGCAGGCCACGCTTGATTGCTTCTTCATCCAGTATACAGTAGTGGTTCCGATGTAGTGGCAAGAGATAATAATCATGTACCATAGTAGTTGTATTCAGGGCAATGCCAATATTCGATGTAGTGGCATTAATGCCACTATTGAGTACCAATGGTGGCACGATTCCCACTATATCGGAGAAGAAGCTTGATGCTTGTTTAGACTACGCTACGGACAGTTGTTCTCTTCACTCGTAGCGTTGTGCATGTATCTATTAGGGTCCCTCCGTTGTTGAGTGCACCAGTATCCGCGTGAAAACGCAGGTGTCTGCCCATCACGTGTGCATACCCTTGATCGTCCTTGTGACAATGAGGCCTTCGGCGGTCCCAACCTACCTTTTGCGTTCAGGCGGACTGCAGATTAGCATTTTTTTTTTGTCCGGCGATCCATGATGGGGTTCAACGCAAGCAAAACAAACATACATGACTGTTGAAAACATCAAAGCGAGACCAATTGGAACAACCAAGTTGAAAACGCCAAACACTCCCCACTCCGTCCGTCGTATCAATCCCAACCGTCATAATAATTTGCACCAACAGGCGTCAACCGACCAATGCCACTACACTGCTGTGAGTGGGTAAACGCTCTGTCTGATGCCCAACTCCCGTGCCGGTCTATTAGTGGCATGTGCTGTCAAGAATGCCATCTTTGCCTTACGGAGGAAATGCCCGGCCTCGCCAATGCCACACGACTCCGCGTACTCTTCTAGACGACCAAAAAGCGCAGACAGTTCTGCGAACAACGGCGGCGCCTTCATCCCTCCAGCCCCCTCACTCTCAGAATCTTCGGTGTTGTCTAGCTCTAGCTCGCGAATGCCGGCATGATACGTGTGGCGTGGCGCCCGCTGCTGTGAGTGTCGGTTTTATGTGATTTATTATTAGGATCGACCACGCCAACCGGCTGACCAATGAAAAGACGTCAGTCTAAGTGCGGTTGAAAACACAAAACACTTCTAAATGCCATTAACTTGGACCCCGTGAGGGGGTGGCATGGGGGAGGCTAAGCTATTCTCCGGATGAAAGACAGAAACGGTAGCAACAGAAGAATTCACGCGTCTACCAAGGTTGCTACCTTGCAATCGAATGTGTGTGTGGTGCGTGTGCGGTGAAACACAGGGGGGCTCCAACGTTTTGAAATGCCACTATTGGGGGGATGAGATGCCCAAAATGCCACTATTGAGGGTCCCGTCCTCAATAGCCACTATATCGGGTTGAGATTGTTGCAAGAGAGATTGATGCCACTATTCAGGGCATTTCACTATTCAGGGTGCCACTATGTCGGGACCACTACTACTGTACATAGACTACATACAATCACCGAAAGGCCACCCGGTCGACATACAGCTAGTGAGCGGGGGGCGGGAAACGGCTGGATAAGGTATGTACATGGGTGCATGCGCGCACAATTTTTCTTTCCGGAGACCCTGGATACTCTTGGCCAGAGCGTGCGTGACCGCAAGAAGACTCGTTTGAGACCGTGGCATTTTCTGCAGGATGCGGGAGACGAGTGGAGGACATGTAGACATCAAAGCAATGCCCGCGAGGGGAATCACCCTCCTCGGAGTGAAAGTGTCAGGGTCATTCGGACCCCACGACTAACTTCGTGGGATATATATGCTGTGGATCTCACACAAGATAGTACAATAGATGGACTACTGCTGTGGTAGAAGTTCGTTCTACTGGAGCTTGCAAATGTTACTCCCAAAAGGAGTAGAACGCGTAGTAGTGTAGACTACTAACCAGGAGCGAGCGCCGTCACGCCGAATGAAAGCAGGTGAGTAGGGAGAAGGAACCTGCAGAAGGCGAACCAACCGCCCTTGACGAGGGTGAAAATCCTTCGGGCCTGGTGCCAGACGTACTGTCAGCCAAGTTCTTCGCTCTGGGAGCGCAATTTGTCATTCTCCAAAATCTGTGCAACCAGGACTTGCGATTTAAGGTAACAAGCAACAAGTCGAAAGTTAAGTGAGTTCGGCTGAGCGCGTCCCGAACGTACTTTCTTTGTCGTGCGTCTGTCTGTCTCGTTTCCTTCCTTCATCTATTTTTTGCCAGTTACCCTCCGTCTCTGGCAGTGTATACAATGGCCTTACCTTTCGACCTGCCGAGTTCCGATCCGGGGTCGGTCATACGTTAGTGAATCCGCGGTGCTTGCCTTGTGTTTTGAGCATGCATGCGCAGGGTCCACCTCCAGTCGTCTTTCTTTCCCTACTCACGGCTTCCCAACTGATTTTCGAGGTTAACACCAAGACCTTTCGAGCAGCCGGCTATGCCATACTACATTGAAACAACCACAAATAATAAGTAGACCTAACAACCCTAACTTATACGCCACAACAACAGCAAAAGTTTTGACCTATCGATTATTCTCATTTTCGCCCAACAACCCCCCCCCCCGCCCCGCCTTGTAGAAATTCTATGACCTGGTCGGCTCTAGTGGGAAAGCTGGCTTGTCAGCATTGCTTCTCGAACGGTGGTCTTCCATCGTTAGTCTTGAGAGCTCCAAGAAAAACTATGTGAGTGAGTGAGGTCACCTGATGATGCTGTGTCGCGCCACAGTCCAACGTGTTGTGCACGTAATTCGATGAGAGCACGTTGCTTGTGTCATTCGAGAGACGATTTCAATCATGTACATGCACTTGCTGAAAATCAGTGGTGTGCCGATTTGTCCGCCTAAACTGTCCTTCCTCTGGTCAGGATTGTGCTATCATGGCCCGACGGGCGATGGGCCGCGTTGAAACGCCAGGGGCGTTGACAAAAACACCAGCTTGGACGATCGAGCACACCACTTTCACAAAGGCGGATTGGGTACGTATTGTGTAGCCCAAGATGCAGAGTTGGGGCATTTCATGGTTGCTTTGTCAATGCACTAATATAGTTTCCGGTCCCGACCCAAAATAGGTAATACCAGCACTTGAGCGCTCGAAAGCTGCTTGCTACAGCTGATGAGAACAACGCCCCAACCACCGACTTTTGTTTCTTGTGGACGATAGGATTATACGCCAAAGGCTGTGTTCAAAACCAAGCGCCAATAGTGCTTGTCCACGAAGACCTTGTACGTCACCATGACATACTTCTCGAGCCTCCTTCCGTGGCTTTAGCTTCTGATGAGGTGGCATGAAAACTTCCGACAGTTGTTGAAGCCGCCATTCGATGAAGCGCTGAAATATAGGGGCGCCATTCACATGGGGTGAAGCCGTACGAGGGATGGAGCCGACGCCGTCTTGACATATCATCCCCCACCCGAAGGTCGAGAGTTTGAGGGGGTCAGGGGCGGGAAACATATCAGTGTGTGTACACGTATCGACGTGTATGTGCTCAGTGGGAATGTTCTTTCTCCCCAACTACAATCAATATTGGGTTCGTTTGTCTCGGATGTACATGATTATATCATCATCAGTGAATCAGCGCTGCGCTATTTGTGGTAGACTTTTTCTTGGTGCTCTCCAACTCGATTTTCCTGTTAATAGTAGTTTCTTAGTTATGGCGAAATGTGAACGAAACGCGACACGGACAAACATACCCAGGACACGGAAGCCCACGGGGGCGGGGGTGTACTCATTGTCGTGCATGCCGTAGTCGTTAGACCATTGACCTCGCATCCCTACAAAGCCGGGACGGAGCACGCGG